ATTTTTTTGTAGCTGCTGAGGTTTGATATGTTGCCAAGTATGTGGTCGATTTTTGAGAAGGTTCCATGTGGTGGTGAGAAGAAGGTATATTCTTTTTTATGTGGATGAAATGTTCTATAGATATCTGTTAATCCCAGTTGGGTCATTACTTCTATTAGACCTTTTGCTTCTTTGTTGAGTTTCTGTTTGGTATTCCTGTCTAGTGGTGAGAGTGGTGTGTTGAAATCTCCCACTATAACTGTGTGGGGCTTTAGATGAGATTTAAGTTCTAATAATGTTTCTTTAACGAATGTGGATGCCTTTGTATTTGGGGCATAGATGTTCAGGATAGACACTTCATCTTGGTGGGTTTCACCTGTGATGAGTATGTAATGACCTCCTTCATCTCTTTTGATTGATTTTATTTTAAAGTCTAGTTTGTTAGATATTAGGATTGCTACCCCTGCTTGTTTCTTGGGTCCATTTGATTGAAAAATTTTTTCCCAACCTTTAACTCTCAGGTAATGTCTGTCTTTAAGGGTGAGGTGTGTTTCTTGTATGCAGCAGAAGGAAGGGTTCTGTCTTCGAATCCAATCTGCCAGTCTGTGTCTTTTTATGGGTGAGTTAAGGCCATTAACATTGAGGGATATTAATGACCAATGATTGCTCATCCTTCTTCGATTTGCGATGGTTGTTGTTGGTGGAATCATGTGTGGAATTTCACCCCTTTGTTCTTTTGGCTGTTGGTAGAGAGGGATTCTCTAATGCTTATGTTTTTCTGGTTGTAGTTAGCTTCCTTGGGTTGGAGTTTTCCTTCCAAAATTTTCTGTAGGGCTGGGTTAGTGGACACATATTGCTTGAATCTAGTTTTGTCATGGAATATCTTGTTTTCTCCGTCTATAGTGATTGAGAGCTTTGCCGGGTATAGTAGTCTGGGCTGGCATCCATGGTCTCTTAGTGTAGGTAGAATATCTATCCAGGACCTTCTGGCTTTCAGCGTTTCCATGGAGAAATCAGGTGTAATTCTGATAGGTCTGCCTTTATATGTTACTTGACCTTTTTCCTTAGCTGCTCTTAATATTCTTTCTTTATTCTGTATGTTTGGGGTCTTGATTATTATGTGGCGAGGGGATTTGTTTTTGTGGTCCACTCTATTTGGTGTTCTGTAGGCTTCTTGTACCTTCATTGGCATGTCTTTCTTAAGGTTGGGGAAGTTTTCTTCTATGATTTTGTTGAATATGCCTTCTGCCCCTTTGAGGTGGATTTCTTCTCCTTCTTCTATACCTATTATTCTTAGGTTTGGTCTTTTCATGGTGTCCCATATTTCCTGGATGTTTTGTGTTAAGGATTTGTTGGATTTAAGGTTTTCTTTGGTTGATAAATCCATTTCTCCTAGCGTATCTTCAACACTTGAGATTCTTCCATCTCTTCTATTCTGTTGGTAATGCTTGTGTTGGTAGTGCCTGACTGTTTGTCCAGCTTTTCTATTTTCTGCCTTTCTTCAGATTGTGTTTTTTTTAATGACTCTATTTCAGTTTTCAACCCTTGCAGTGTTTGCATTGCTTCTTGCAATTTTGTGTTTATCTGTTTGTCCGTTTGTTGCCTTTTATGAATTTTTTGGTTTGTTCTTTCTTCCATTTCTTGCAGTTTTTGGTTTGCTTTTTGTTCCATTTCTTGCATTTTGTGCTTTGTTTCTTCTTCCATTTTTTTCATTTTTTGCTTTGTTTTTTCTACCATTTCTTGCATTTTTTGCTTTGTTTCTTCTTCCATTTCCTGCCTTTTTTGGTATGATTCTTCTTCCATTTCTTGCATTTTTTGGTTTGTTTTTTCTTCCATTTCTTGCATTTTTTGCTTCATTTCTTCTTCCATTTCCTGCCTTTTTTGGTTTGTTTTTTCTTCCAATTCTTGCATTTTTTGGTTCGTTTTTTCTTCCATTTCTTGCATTTTTTGGTTTGTTTTTCCTTCCATTTCTTTGAGGGATATTCCAATATCCTCTTTTAGGGCCTCTATCATTTTCATGAAAGTGCTTTTAAGGTCGTTCTCATCTGCTTCGTCCGCATTGGAATGTTGGGGTCTTGCTGGTGTGGAGTCTCTAGAATCTGGCGGTGTCATATTTGTTTTTCGGTTGCTGACTGTGTTTTTGTATTGTCTCTTTCCCATCTCTTCTTCTAGTAGGTGCAGAAAGAGCCCCTTACTGGTCTGGGTACCAGAGGTCCCTTTTGGTGGGTGCTAGCAAGTCCAATAATCTGGTGGTTCTTCTATTCCTTGTCCGAATGCTGGTCCCGTGGGTGGAGAAGAAGAACAGGAATCTGGGGCACTTATCCTCTTACCTGGTCCCCTGGACCCTATGCTGGGTCCTGTTGTAATTGATCCAGAACAGCTACTCCCCTGGTCTCCCTGGGTCCTCTGGTTTCCTGGTCTCGTTGGTGGGAGAGAAGACTTGGGGTCTGGGTGCTTGGCTCCTGCCGGGATTGGGAGCTCTGTGCAGTTCCCAGGCGATCTGCAGGCACTGGAGCACAGGCCGGGAAGCCGGGCCATTTACCTGATGCTGCCCGAGGAACAGCTGCTTCCCTGGACTCCCAGCCTCCTCTCCTTTCCTGGTCTCGTTGGTGGGAGCGAAGATGTGGAGTCTGGGGTGCTTGGCTCCCGCCGGGATTGGGAGCTCTGTGCAGGTCCCAGGCGATCTGCAGGCACTGGAGCACAGGCCAGGAAGCCGGCCTGTTTACCTGATGCTGCTGGAGGAACAGCTGCTTCCCTGGACTCCCAGCCTCCTCTCCTTTCCTGGTCTCGATGGTGGGAGAGAAGATCTGGAGTCTCGGGTGCTTGGCTCCCACCGGGATTGGGAGCTCTGTGCAGGTCCCAGGCGATCTGCAGGCACTGGAGAGCACAGGCCGGGAAGCCGGCCTGTTTACCTGATGCTGCCCGAGGAACAGCTGCTTCCCTGGACTCCCAGCCTCCTCTCCTTTCCTGGTCTCGTTGGTGGGAGAGAAGATCTGGAGTCTGGGGTGCTTGGCTCCCACCGGGATTGGGAGCTCTGTGCAGGTCCCAGGCCATCTGCAGGCACTGGAGAGCACAGGCCGGGAAGCCGGCCTGTTTACCTGATGCTGCCCGAGGAACAGCTGCTTCCCTGGACTCCCAGCCTCCTCTCCTTTCCTGGTCTCGTTGGTGGGAGAGAAGATCTGGAGTCTGGGGTGCTTGGCTCCCACCGGGATTGGGAGCTCTGTGCAGGTCCCAGGCCATCTGCAGGCACTGGAGAGCACAGGCCGGGAAGCCGGCCTGTTTACCTGATGCTGCCCGAGGAACAGCTGCTTCCCTGGACTCCCAGCCTCCTCTCCTTTCCTGGTCTCGTTGGTGGGAGAGAAGATCTGGAGTCTGGGGTGCTTGGCTCCTGGGACCAGCGGATCTTAACTCCCTGTCAGTCGCCATGGAACACTCCACTTCTACCCGTCAAAAAGCCTGGCACAGGTGACTACCGACCAGTACAGGACCTTAGGGAAGTTAATAAGAGGGTGGAGGATATACACCCCACGGTGCCTAACCCATATAACCTTCTGAGTGCCCTACCACCCACCCATCCGTGGTATACGGTGCTAGACCTAAAGGACGCCTTCTTTTGTAGAATTCTTGGGCACCACCGGGTTCTGCAGTTTGTAGATCCCTGGATTCGCCGAAATGGCGGCTCCTCTGTATCCCCTAACCAAACAAGGGGCTCCCTTTGAATGGACAGAGGCACAACAACAGGCCTTTAATGACATCAAACGGGCCCTCTTCTCCTCTCTGGCTTTGGGCTTGCCCGACAAAACCAAACCTTTCAACCTATTTGTGGAAGAGAAGCAAGGCTTTGCAAAGGGGGTCTTGACCCAGAGGTTCAGGCCATGGAAGTGACCCATCGCCTACTTGTCCAAGAAATTGGACCCAGTAGCCTCCGGATGGCCCCCTTGCCTGAGAATGGTGGCGGCCATTGCCATTCTTCTCAAGGACGCAACAAAGCTGACTCTGGGACAGCCATTAACTGTACTAGCACCACATGCGGTTGAGTCTATATTGTCCCCCAGCCTACTGATCGTTGGCTATCCAACACTCGCATGACCCATTACCAGTCCCTGCTCCTGGACGCTGATCGGATTCGCTTCCGCCCAGTAGTCGCCCTTAGTCCTGCAACTCTGCTGCCACTGCCAGAGGGCCCTACATCCCAGACTGCCTGCAGATCCTCGTGGAAGCACATGGGACCAGGGTTGACCTGTCCAATCAGCCATTAAAGACTCGGACCACACATGGTACACGGACGGTAGTAGCTACTTGCTGAATGTTGAACGACAAGCAGGAGCAGCAGTGACCACCGAAAACCAGGTAGTCTGGGCCAGCGCCCTTCCGGGAGGAACCTCAGCACAGCGGGCCAAGCTCATCGCCCTAACTCAGGCGCTCCAGCTGGCAGAAGGTAAGAGACTCAACGTGTATACCAATAGCCGGTATGCCTTCACCACCACCCACATACATGGGGAAATCTACCAGAGGAGGGGACTCCTAACCTCAGAGGGCAAGGAGATTAAAAATAAGACTGAGATCTTGGCCCTGCTCAAGGCCCTATTCCTCCACAAGAAATTGAGCATCATGCACTGCCCAGGGCACCAAAGAGGAGACAGTGCGGAGGCAAAAGGCAATCGTCTAGCAGATGAGACTGATAAACAGGCCGCTGTGGGCCCCCAGCTCCTCACCATCACAATCTTAACTGAACCAGGACAGACCCAGCTGATGAACTGGGAATATAGTACTGAGGACTTAGATTTGATACAGAAACTAGGAGCAGACTATGATCCAGAGCGAGACAGATGGGTGCACCAAGGAAAAACCATTGTGCCAACTAAACCTACAATGGACCTAATTAATAACCTCCACAAACTGACTCATTTAAGTGCCCGAAAAATTCAAGCCCTGTTGGACTGAGTGGAGATGGGAAAACTTTTCCTCAATAGAGATAAGGCCCTACAAAAGGTCACAGAGACTTGGAAGGCTTGATCTCAAGTCAACGCGGGACGAGCCAAGACTGCCCCCGGGGTCCGTCTCCGGGGACACCAACCTGGAGTCCACTGGGAAGTAGACTTTTCTGAAATTAAACCTGGCATGTATGGATACAAATATCTCTTAGTTTTTATAGACACCTTCTCTGGATGGGTAGAGATCTACCCTACCAAACATGAGACTGCAAAGGTGGTCACCAAGAAACTATTAGAAGAAATCTTTCCCCGATATGGGGTGCCTCAGGTATTAGGATCAGACAATGGGCTGGCCTTTGTCTCCCAGGTAAGTCAGCAGGTGGCCAAGATACTGGGAATTGATTGGAAATTACACTGTGCATATAGACCCCAGAGCTCAGGTCAGGTAGAACCTATGAATAGAACAATTAAGGAGGTCTTATCTAAATTAATGCTAGCAGCTGGCTCAAAGGATTGGGTGCAACTCCTACCCCTGGCTCTGTATCGAGCCAGGAACACTCCAGGCCCCCACGGCCTTACCCCTTTTGAAATTCTATATGGGGCTCCACCCCCAGCCATCACTTTCTTTGATTCTGATATTTCGGGCTATGCTAATTTCCCCTCTCTCCAAGCACACCTTCAGGCCCTGCAGATCATGCAGAAAGAAGTTTGGAAGCCCTTAGCAGCCGCATACCAGGACGCGAACAGTGCCTCACCAGTTCCAAATCGGAGACTCAGTCTGGGTCCGGAGACACCAAACCAAAACCCTCGAGCCTCGCTGGAAGGGACCATATACGGTAATCCTGACAACGCCTACAGCACTGAAAGTTGACGGTATCACCACCTGGATCCACGCATCCCACGTGAAGGCTGCCCACCCGGACGCTTCCACGTCTCCTGCCCAGGCATGGAGACTCCAATGCTCTCAAAACGCCCTAAAGATAAGACTTATTTGAAATTAGTTGTCTTGTTTGCCCTTTTGACTACCCCCATCCTGTCGACCAGCCCCCATACCCTAAAACAATTAACCTGGCAGATAGTCTCCCCAGCAGGAAATGTCTTGTGGTCTCAGTCAGGGAACCATGCCGTGGGAACTGGGTGGCCCTCGCTCACCCTGGACTTTTGCCAACTGGTGGCAGGGTCAGACTATTGGGATATACCCGACTATGAGGCAGACACATTGCCAGAAAAACTAAGATCAAACCCTGGCAATAGAAGCGTGCATGGCTATGGTGTCCGGGGAGTCCGGATACCAATAGGGTGTGCCACCATCGAGAAAAGGTGTAAACTGGGTCACCAAGACTTAATTGTGCCCAAAGGATGGGAGGGACTTCTACACGTCTCGTAAATGTGGATGCTATGACCCTTACTTTTGCACCGCCTGGGGCTGTGAGACCACCGGCTGTGCATACTGGAACCCCTCATCTTCCTGGGACAAGGTCACCATATTAAAGGGCTGGGGGGAGAGACATTGTTCAAACTGTTCTAGAGGACTCTGCCTTTGCCTTAACATCACCTTTGCACCGAGTGGTAAAAAGGCTCCAGAATGGATCAGGGGATATACTTGGGGGCTCCGCTGGTACATAGAAGGAGAAGATCAGGGGGGGTGGTTAACTTTAAAATACAACTTAGAGTACAACAGGCCTCCCAACCAATCGGTCCCAACCAAGTCCTGGCGGAGCAGAGGCCGGCATCCTCCTCCGGTTTCATACCAACCCCCCTGCCAGTGGGTAACTCAGAGCTGAAATAACCACACCAACCTCGCCCCCTGACCAGTCCCAGGATACCCAGTCCCAGGAAGACTTCCTGGGGACAGGGGATAGACTTATTAACTTAGTAAAATGAGCCCACCAGGCCCTTAACTCCTCAGACCCCGATCGAGCTAGAGACTGTTGGCTATGCCTCAGCATAGCCCCCCCCTACTATGAGGGAATTGCTGTTTCAGGAAATTTCTCTAATTATACCAGAGCCCCGGAATCGTGTTTGGTACTGCCTCACCACAAGCTAACTTTACCCGACGTTTCTGGGCAAGGCACATGTTTAGGTCAGGTTCCTAGGTCGCACCAGCCGCTCTGCAATCGAACCGTCCAGACTCTGTCAGCAGGGATCTACTATCTGGCTGCCCCAAATGGTATGTACTGGGCCTGTAACACAGGTCTCACCCCCTGTATATCGGCCCAAGTGTGGAACCAAACCTCAGAGCTCTGTGTGTTGATCCAGCTGTGGCCCAGGATCACCTATCATAGTTCACAGACCGTTTATGAGTTCTTCGAAGACACCCCTAGAAGGCAGAGGTAGGAGCCAGTAACCATGACTCTCGCAATCCTCCTGGGAGTCGGGGACATTGGGGCAGGGATAGGCACTGGAACTCATGCCATGATACAGACAGGGAGATTCCAAGCCTTGCATGACGCCATGCATGCAGACCTAAAAGCGGTTGAAAAGACAATCACTGCCCTCGAAAGATCCCTGACCTCTCTATCTGAAGTTGTTTTACAAAATAGACGGGGATTAGATTTACTCTTTTTAAAGGAGGGCGGATTATGTGCGGCCCTTAAAGAAGAATGTTGCTTTTATGCAGACCAGACAGGGATAGTAAGAGAGACAATGGCTAAGCTAAGAGAGAGGCTGGCCCTGTGAGAAAGAGAGTTTAGTTCACAACAAGGCTGGTTTGAAGGATAGTATAACAGATCACCCTGGTATGTTACCTTACTTTCTACTCTTATGGGACCTCTAGTTATACTGGTAATCATTCTAAAATTTAGTGCCTGTATCCTTAACCGGCTGGTTCGGTTTATCAAGGAAAGGCTGTCCGTCATCCAGACCTTGGTCCTAACTCATCTGTAGGCTTCAATGGACGCTGTAACGATACGCGACACAAAATTACTGACAGTAAAGCTAAGTATTTAATGTAGAAATTTACTCACAAGATACCAAACCCAGAGGAGCCGTTTTCAGCTAGCTGCCGGACGGGAAGCTGAACTCCAGGAAAAGAGAGCGAGACTTCCTGTGCCCAAAAGTGGGCTTGGCTAGTGACGTAGTTCCGCCTACGTACGTATACGTCTTTACGTCCAGCCGTATACGTCTTTAGTCCTGCCTAAAGTGGGTGTGGTTAGCGGTGTGGTAAACCGCCCTTTTATTACCTCATCTGTATGCGCCTCTAGTAAGTCACATGTTTAATGGCGGCATAGACTTATTAAGTCACATGTTTAATGGCGGCATCAGACTTCCTCCTACAATTCCCCTTTTAGTCTAAAAAAGGACAACTAACTTGTGTCCATGAACAAAATGTATCAAACATCTATTCTATCTAAACCTAAACTTATCTTAAAGAAACACCCAAATATGAACACCTCCTTCCAATCCCAACTCTAAAATAATTGAAAACTAACACTAACAGGTGTAATCTTATAATATCAATAGTAGGGAGAGGGGGCGTGGAATTCTCAAAACTACTTCCTGCTGAGATGGGACGATGATAATCTCATGGGGACCTGTGAAAAGAAAATGTTAGTATAACAAAATCTGAGTAGATCAGACAGTCTCAGTATGGCAGGAGATGCTTGATTGAAGTTCCTGACTGGGGTTCTAGTGTTGATTGAAGCTCTTATCTTGAAGCTCTGGTCAGATTGTAGAAGATGTGCTATTTCCGTTCCTTGGTCTGGAGTTGTGTCGAGTGATGTAGTTTCAAGCCAGTTTCAGGATAGTGCTTGTCAGGTGGAGTCAATGATGTGGGGCAGTTCAGATGCCTCCAGTCGAATCAGGTGAAGTCAAGGAAGTGGATCCTCATTCTCTTTTGGAAGCAGTTGAAGATTGCTGTCAGGAAATCCCTTGTTCTCTGGAAAACTCAAACATTACTGTTAACAAAGAAATATTTTAACTTTCATATGTATGCATACAGAAGAGGTGACAATAGGGAAGATGGAAAACCTGGAGTAAATTAGACTGTTGAGAAAAAGAAATCCACAGATAACAGTCCCTCATTTTATTTCTTCTGTCTTATATCAATGGCTCTTTGATATAATACAGAAATTCTGAATTGTATTTAAATAATATGCTTGAGTTTAGAGTAGGAGAGCCAATCCAACTCCAAAGCCAGCGTCAGTTAAATGAATGGGGACTGAGGTATGTGAAGAAATAAAGATAAAAGGGTACTATGAAAAAACAATATAGAGAGATTTAGACTTTTTGATACCACACAGTGAGATACTGTTTGTTTGATGGTCCTCAGGGTAGCTAGTCATTCTTCTACAGGAATCCATAAGTCCAGTATTCTTTGCTGAGTTTACCTGTGAAGACAAAAACAAAACACTTCTCTTTCCTTTTAGGAGGTCACTTTACCCATGGTGGACTATGAATTCGTAGATGGGCTGTTATCTTCCTCCTCCTGAGATGTTTTCTGTTCTGATCGAATTTTAATTAATTTTGATGGAACCCAAACCTTTTCTTCTCCTGTGGAAACGAAAGCATAACCCCTTCCCCAACGTAACACATATCCTGGTTTCCAGACTGAGATCATAACATCCTTAAAATACACCGGTTGGTTCAATTCAGAAGTCTTCTCTGTAGTCCAGTGTCTTTCTGCTGCAGTTTGTCCTTTTTTATCAGCATTAAGAAAATTCAACGTTAGTAAAGCATTGTGTAACCTGTGTCTAGGTGTCTTTGTTTTCCCTGGCTGTTTATGAAGCATCTCTTTTAAGGTTCGGTTAGACCTTTCAATTATTGCTTGTCCTGTGGGATTGTAAGGTATACCAGTTACATGTTTTATATTATAATATTTGAAGAATTGTTCCAATTTACTGGAGACATATGCTGGACCATTGTCAGTTTTTATTGTTTTAGGTATACCCATAACAGCCATTACCTCTAAGAGGTGTGTAATAACAGAGTCAGCTTTTTCAGAGCTGAGGGCAGTAGCCCATTGGAAGCCTGAGTACGTGTCTATAGTATGGTGTACATATTTCAAACTGCCAAATTCTGGGAAGTGAAATACATCCATTTGCAAAAGTTCATTTCTGTGAACACCTTTAGGATTACAACCTGCTGGTAATGGAGTTTGATTGTACAATGAGCAACTGGGACAATTTCTTACTATTTCTTTGGCTTGTTGCCAGGTGATAGAAAAATCCTTCTTTAAACCTTTGCTGTTAACATGGTGTTTCTTATGAAATTCTGAAGCTTCCAACACATTACCTACTAATAAACGATCGATTTCATCATTGCCTTGTGCCAGAGGACCTGGCAGACCTGTATGGGATCTGATGTGTGTTATATATATAGGATGAGTCCTGTTTCTGATGATTTCCTGCAATTGTAAAAACAATGAGGTTAATTCTGTATTATCAGGAACAAATTCTGCAGTCTCAATGTGCAGGACAACTCTTTCTGCATACTGAGAATCCGTGACTATATTGAGAGGCTCTGTAAAGTCTTTAAGTACCATGAGAATGGCATATAACTCTGCCTTTTGTACGGAGTTGTAAGGGCTTTGAACTACTTTACTTATATTTCCTGATTTATACCCTGCTTTACCTGATTTGTTTGCATCCATGTAGAAGGTAAGAACTCCAGAAATAGGTGTTTGCCTCACGATACGTGGAAGAATCCAAATTGTTTTCTTTATGAATTTGATTCTCTCTGTTTTGGGATAGTTATGACTAATACTTCCCAAAAAGTCACTGCAAGCTATTTGCCAATACTCATTATCCTTCCATAAGGAGGAAATTTCCTCATTCGTTAAAGGTACAATAATTTCAGCTGGGTCATTCCCAGTCAGTTGACGAAGCCTTAATTTACCTTTTAATATCAAATCAGATATCTTTTCTATATATGTTTTCAATTTTTTATTTTGTTTATGTGGCAGAAATACCCATTCTAGAATGATGTCGTTCCTCTGCATTAATATTCCTGAGGGGTATTCTCTAGATGGTAAAATAACCAGAATACAGTCCTGATTTGGATCCACACAGTCCACATGTGCTTCTAATATTCTCTTTTCTACCCATTCTAATTCTTTTTCAGCCTCAGCTGATAGTACTCGTGGGCTGTTTAGGTCTTTATCTCCTTTTAAAGCCATTTTCAGGTGTTTTAAATCATGCCCTTCTACACCAATAATCGTCTGTAATTGAGAGATTTCTCCTAATAGTTTTTGAAGATCATTAAGAGTCCAGTAACGATCTCTTCTGATCTGTACTTTCTGTGGTCTAATTTTCTGAGCATCTATTTTATAACCTAAATAGTTAATAGAATCTCTTCTTTGTATTTTTTCTGGGGCAATTTGTAATCCCCAGCGAGGCAAAATTTCCTTTACTGCCTCAAACATCTTTTCCAAAGTATCCTTATTTGAATCAGACAATAATATGTCATCCATATAATGATATATTAACGAATGTGGAAATTTTTTTACGAATTATTTCTAGAGGTTTATTCACAAAATATTGACACAAAGTTGGACTGTTTAACATACCTTGAGGTAGTACCTTCCACTGGAATCTCTGTACCGGACGGGAATTATTATAGGTAGGTACTGTGAAGGCAAACTTTTCTCTGTCGTTTTCTTGTAACGGTATGGTGAAGAAACAATCTTTTAAGTCTATAACTATAATTGGCCAATCCTTAGGAATTAGAGAAGGTAACGGCATCCCAGGTTGTAGAGACCCCATAGGCTGAATTACCTTGTTGATGGCTCTAAGATCTGTAACCGTTCTCCACTTACCAGACTTCTTCTTGACAAGAAAAACAGGCAAATTCCATGCACTAGTTGATTCCTCAATATGTCCAGCATCTAGCTGTTCCTGAACTAACTTCTCCAAAGCCTCTAACTTCTCAGATGTCATAGGCCATTGACCCACCCAGACGGGTTCATCTGTCAGCCATTTTAATGGTAGAGCTTTTGGTTGCTCTGTAGGTTTGGCACTAGCATCTTGCTTCTGTACAGCCTGTACATTTGGCATCTGTTTTCTGTACTGTCTTACTATATTCTTACTACCACTAAGAGCTTGTCTATAATTCCTAGCCGATACAGGAGGAATTTTAATCTGTGTATTCCATTGCTGGAGTAGATCATGACCCCAGAGGTTTATAGCAATATCTGCAACATATGGCTTTAACCTTCCTCTCTGTCCTTCTGGCCCAATAAAGTCAATCCATCTAACGCTCTGTTTAACTTCAGATAGGGTTCCAATCCCTAAGAATTGAACATTAACCTCTTTTAAAGCCCAGTTGTGTGGCCAGGACTGCTGATTAAGGATAGTGACTTCACTTCCGGTGTCCAGTAATCCGTAAATCACCCTATTATTTACCTTAACCGGAAGTTTGGGTCTATGATATTGTATAGAAGTTTGCCAAAATATATGTTTTGTATCTCCTCCTGATGTAATTGATTCATCCTCTGGAGCTAATGTATTATCCAGTGCCGTATTATTTACAATGGGCAGTGGATTTTCTAATTGTCCTGGGAGAGGCTGTCCTCCACTGTCACTGGGAATGACCGGATAATCTCTCTTTTGGGGGCTCGGTTGAGCCCCTGAGTTCCGTTTTTTGGCTGTAAAGATCTACCTTGTCTGTCTATTGTGGAAAAGCATTCATCAGTCCAATGGCGCCCCTTCCCACACCTCCTGCATAGACCAGGAGGCTTAGGCCTTCTGTTTGATGCATTCCTGGTAAAAGCATTATTTCTAGGAATGCGTTGTCTACAGTTCCTACTAAGATGTCCTATTCTACCACAGCTAAAGCATGTTGGATCTTTACGCCTATTTAAATTCTTTGAGATTGCCTTCCCTACCCATGCCTCTATATCATCACAGGTAGGGTATTTGGCATCCTGGTGCCTCCTCAAGCCTGTAGAAATAGCTTTACCTACCCAAGCTCCTGTATCCTGACTTTTACATTCCAGGTTCGCTGTATG